GTTTTATATGTTGAATCATCGTATAAGGCCTTAAAATTTTCTCTACATAATCAGTAATATTGCTCCTCGTAGTAGTATTAAATGTCCTATTTTATTGTGGTGTTTCTACACGGTCATCAATCAGAGGGAGAGCTTGTAATTCAACGTCACTGGAACGCTCTGGAAAACTACCCGTTAAACTTATAAATTATACAAAAATTTTCTTTTGAAGTTCTCATCATTTGAAAAGGCAAAGCTTAAGCCCCCTGATTAGATCTCCCCAGTAGAAATGTCCACTGAAGTTTTGGACAGATTTACCACTTTTTGGAAATGGCTTTCCTTCCCTTATACTCCATTAGATACAGATCGTGTCCTGGAGATAATTCTTATATCAAATTTTTTTAATTTCTTACATGCGTCTTTATAACCTGCTGAAAACTGTCATGTAACCCATACGCAATTCTGTAGAGCTTAATGAAGTCCTCCGATCTAAGAGCCTCAGACAAGATTTTCCTAAGTCTAGTCTTAAATATAATTAATGAGTTTAGCTTTGTCATGACTTACTTAAGTCTAGTACCAACCAAATCATGGCATACATCTAAAATACCAGTCTTAGTCTTACGATATAAATTAGGCCTAGAAATAACATAGAGCAAACTTTCAGAAAACGAATATTATCGACTTGATTAGCCAACAATTTCTTGACTTTTGTATATAATGACGAATTCCAAAAGGGATGAAAACCACACATAATTCAAAGATATGATAAAAAGCTGGGGTTCGAAGAATTTCATAGCGATATATTTTTACATTAATTTCAAAGTAAAAGTTGGTTATAAGGAATTCGTGATATGGTCTCATTGGAAACCAAAGGAGATTAGCTGTGTATGGAGGATTATTGTATTGTGCCAAGAGGTCCTTGTTTCACCGTCCTGCCACCCCGATGAACCTGTGCTCGGCTTTCGTCTGCACTGTAACAGGCATCCTCAGAGCGAGAATCCATACCTTAAGAAATATAGAAATACTTGACCGGCTGCAGCCATAGTCCCTGGTTTTATACACCTAAACTTGCGATCTTAATGAAGCATCCCATGATTTGGTTGGCTGCTAGCTGCAAGCATGTAGTGTAAGTATGAGGTAGCCAAGCAAATTAATGGCTGCCTCATTAAGATCGCAAGGTTGAGTCTATAAAAAAGCAACTATGGTTGCAGCCGGCCACTTTCTTTCTCGGTTTAGTATATTTTTGCTCTGATAATGTCCGTTACCATTTCATCGGACTAACAGGACGGTGAGCCAAGGACTTCTTTTCACAATTCAACAGTCATACCCACGCGGCAATCCTCCTTCTGTTTCCGGAGAGACTACATCACGAATTCCTTCCAACCATCTTTTCATTTGCCATGGAAAGTCATGTCGCAATTAATCATTCTAAGTAGCTTAAAGTTGCCTAAGGCATGATATTTGAAATGAAATGACATTGTTAGGCCTATACTTTTTATTGCGGGAATACTTAACAATAAATTTTAAAATCACTTTAAGCTACCTAGCATGACTAATTTCCCATTCAAGAATATTTTAGTCTAGCTCTTGTGGGCTAACTTTTTTACAAAATTGGGCTGCTTAGAAGATTGATGAGATTTCCATCGTTGTCACCGATAGCTGAACCTAAGTGGTGCTTGGTAACGTTTCTTAGAGTGAGTTGTTTTGTGTATATTTCAGCTTCCATATTTCCTATTTTTCCGCACTGACAGCCGGTCTATTCGGCCTGCGGGCCAATCGCTTTCTGATAATAGTCATCGTACTGACCACAGTGCTGATATGTGCCGCTCTGATGGGCGTGATTTGCGTGATGCTGCGCAATGGTGGAGGCAGTGTCGCGGCAGAAACTTGCTGTTGCTGCTGTTGTCGCCTGGGTCGGCAGGGTGTAGATGTGAATGGTCCCGGGGATCGACCTCGCAACATGTCCTGTCACATGGGACTGAGCGGACACACTTGTCTGAGCGGGACCAGCAGTGATCATGTGCTCTATGGTCCTAACTCGGGCCTGAAAAACGGTGGCTCACTTTCACTGGGTCCGCAAGCACCAACCACTCAGCTCTGCCTAACAGGTGCAACCCAACCCGGTATCGGAGTTTGTCCATCAGCTCAGCTCCCGGCCAGCTTAATGGAGACGTCAACCAGTCGGCTTGGCAACGGAGGCTCACGAGTAATCACCACGGCCACAAACTCCGCTCTGGCATCTTCTAAACTGCTCTGTAAAATCGGCCTGCCGAGTTACCATGCAATGGCTGGTGAGTGTTTTGATACTGCAGGAGCAGCAATCGGGAGCAGAGCCAACCTAGGAGCTGGCGGTGGTTATGGCGGTGGATCAGCAGAGACAACCGGTGATCTGGTCCTGTTCGAAAGCATAATAGGCACCACTTTGAAGAATGCCGAGGCAGAAGCGAGTACATGCTTTTCTCCGAAACCAGGGATACTCGAGAGAAACGGAGGAACCAGGCTGGCCGGAGGGTTAGTGACAAGTCTTTCCTGCGGCAAACGAAGGCAGTTGACCGGAAAAACTGTTGACGACCAGGCCAGGCTAACCCAGTAAGTTCGGATCAGTTTTAGATATAAAATCTGGCAGATCTGATACAGTATATTTGATTATCTGACTGTCTGAAAAATGAAAACGAACGCCAGGCTGGGGGAAGTGGGAGAAAGAGGAAAGATAGAGAGTGGCTGGCATCAGTTTGAACGCACTACAGAAAGAATATAGTGCGATCCCTCCAGAAGGCGTAATGAGATTGTCGTAACGATAAGTCGTATGGCTGGTTGAGATTTCCCCTATTAGATGTGTGAGCAGGATAGAGCGGATATCAACACAGGAAGTGCAAAGTAGATAAACATAAGTGCCGAGGGAGCTATTTTAAGCTCTCGTATAAATCTCTCTTCGACATAATATTTGAAGGCAAACAATAGTAAAATGACTAAAAAGCCTAGTCACACTATTTTCATTTTACTAAGAAAATAAATGTAATAGGCATCACATTCCGATTTCGCCATTAGATCATGCTTATAGTGTTATCAATATTCCCGCCATCTCGGTCAAGCAAAGTTGTGAAAGAGACACTTGAAGCGAAGAACACTTTTCATGATTTGCAGCTAATCTATACCAAAAGTAGCATGTAGTATTATCGAATGGCTCCGATTTTCCCTTAAAATCTATACAGGCATAGAACCATTTTTCTCTTCTAAAAATGGTTGTCCCTGTCATTAGTGCATGTAAAGAAGCACCTTTATTGAATGCCCTGAGGTTGAGTAAGGACTATCACACAGCAATATTCTGACGATAGGGTTTATGCAAAAGAATTAATGGAATTACCGTCGAAAAGGCACGGTTACAATTTTAAACTGATGAAATAGATCTATCCCTATGCTAGCATTGAACTC